AATACGTTGCAAGTGGATTGGACTTACATTATGGAAGAGTCATCAAACTGCAATACGAGGCAAGCGCTAACTTGGAATCCTGAAGGGAAAATGGAAAGAAGAAGACCAAGAAGCAGATTGCATCGGGGATTGGAAGCAGACATCAAAAGGGAGAATATCAACTGGAAACAAGCGGAAAGTTTTGTCCAGGACAGAGGTGGATGAAGAATGCTGGTGTGTTGCTTATGCTTCTCCACTGGGGGTAACAGGTGCAAGTAAGTAAGTAAGTTATTCAGAAAATTGGGTTGAAGGGTAAGAGAGAAACTGGAAGATACAACATATGAAACGTGAATGATCCTCTCGGTTATTTATGAGGAAAACTGAGAAATTTAATAGGCTAAAACAAATCATTCTCAAAAGCAATCTGACTTTTTATTTTGTCTTATAATCAAAAAGAATAAATTAAATATCATAAATCACTAGTCCTTTTACCTTAGTTAAACTTATACTATCAGTATGCGTAGTGAAGATTTCTGGATTTCACCGAAATTCCGAACTGGCCTAAGTTAAACTCTTCACCTCTAGATCACTAAGCCTGACTCATGTGGTTTACAAGTTCTTTTCCAAGCAACCCACGATAGTGAGCGACCACCTTCCAATGTCTTTAGTGGATACTTTCTTTACTCCCGACACAGTTAAAATCAAGTAGTCATGGTTTCTCCTGAGAACTCCATAAATTTCTCCAAGCTAGTCACTAGTGAGTGCACTATAATTTTCAGTATAGAGTTGTGGTGATTGTTGAGTTTTATTGGAATCACGAACCGATTTAAATTAGACTTATACACCATAGGATTATGACTCAACAGTCTAGAGGTAAGTACATTTCCAAGTCAAATTATTTGGCACTTAGGACAAACAGTGTTTCAACTATTCGAAATATCCAAGAATGTAAGTTTTCATTTTAAATCCTGAAGATAATTATTGACTAAACCTGTTCAGATTTACCCTTTGAACACAAGTAAATTGCCGTATGTATTTGAGAATAATCTGAATAGACAAATAGAGTTTTATCAGGTGTTTTGTGGATATTATAGTAGTTTTGATAGTTGAGATCATGAATCAATTGAAGTATGACCACCGTGGAAAACCCGGAAGCACTAGACGGCTATTTCGTCCTATTATGGGACTACTCAGTAGTACGCATCCACGATCCCGCCTCTGGAGATTCGAACCCAGGACCTATCAAATTCGCGCGCGAGCGCTTAATCACTAGACCACTGAGCCGGCATCCAACGGTGTCGAAGTTAGACATAAACACCATCGGATGCCGGCTCAGTGAACTAGTGGTTAAGCGCTCGCGCCTGGGTTTGAATCTCACGAGGCAGGATCGAGGATGCGTACTACTGAGTAGTCCCATAATAGGACGAAACGGCGGCCCAGTGCTTCCAGGTTTTCCATGGTGGTCAGTTTCAATTGATTCATGATCTCAACTATCAAAATTGAATTTTAACGTCTACAAATTTTATTACTATAAAATGACTTGATTTACATAATTATTTTTCAAAACACGAATGATTTAAATTAAATAATGATGAAACTGATAGTATTAGTCATTGTTGAAAGCGTGAGTCAATTGAAGCTAGACCACCATGGAAAACCTGGAAACACTGGACGGCCGTTTCGTCCTATTATGGGACTCCTCAGCAGTGCGCATCCACGAACCTGCTCTCGCGAGCGAGATTCGAACCCAGGACCTACCAGTCTCGAGCCGAAGCCCTTAACCGATAGACCACTGAGCTGGCATCCAACGGTGTTAATGTCTAACTTCAACTGATCCACGAAGTTGAGCAACCATTCACCAATTGTCTTCAGTGAGTTCCTATCTCACAACAGACGTGGTTTTGAACTCCACTGGTCACTGCTTCTCACTAGAGCTCCTAGATATACTTCTCGAAATCACTAGTGAGCATATTATTATATTAATTATAGAAGGGGTTTTGTGGAGATTTAGTATTTATCATTGTTGAAAGCGTGAGTCAATTGAAGCTAGACCACCATGGAAAACCTGGAAACACTGGACGGCCGTTTCGTCCTATTATGGGACTCCTCAGCAGTGCGCATCCACGAACCTGCTCTCGCGAGCGAGATTCGAACCCAGGACCTACCAGTCTCGAGCCGAAGCCCTTAACCGATAGACCACTGAGCTGGCATCCAACGGTGTTAATGTCTAACTTCAACTGATCCACGAAGTTGAGCAACCATTCACCAATTGTCTTCAGTGAGTTCCTATCTCACAACAGACGTGGTTTTGAACTCCACTGGTCACTGCTTCTCACTAGAGCTCCTAGATATACTTCTCGAAATCACTAGTGAGCATATTATTATATTAATTATAGAAGGGGTTTTGTGGAGATTTAGTATTTATCATTGTTGAAAGCGTGAGTCAATTGAAGCTAGACCACCATGGAAAACCTGGAAACACTGGACGGCCGTTTCGTCCTATTATGGGACTCCTCAGCAGTGCGCATCCACGAACCTGCTCTCGCGAGCGAGATTCGAACCCAGGACCTACCAGTCTCGAGCCGAAGCCCTTAACCGATAGACCACTGAGCTGGCATCCAACGGTGTTAATGTCTAACTTCAACTGATCCACGAAGTTGAGCAACCATTCACCAATTGTCTTCAGTGAGTTCCTATCTCACAACAGACGTGGTTTTGAACTCCACTGGTCACTGCTTCTCACTAGAGCTCCTAGATATACTTCTCGAAATCACTAGTGAGCATATTATTATATTAATTATAGAAGGGGTTTTGTGGAGATTTAGTATTTATCATTGTTGAAAGCGTGAGTCAATTGAAGCTAGACCACCATGGAAAACCTGGAAACACTGGACGGCCGTTTCGTCCTATTATGGGACCCCTCAGCAGTGCGCATCCACGAACCTGCTCTCGCGAGCGAGATTCGAACCCAGGACCCAGGACCCGAGTCCCATAATAGGACGAAACGGCCGTCCAGTGTTTCCAGGTTTTCCATGGTGGTCTAGCTTCAATTGACTCACGCTTTCAACAATGATAAATACTAAATCTCCACAAAACCCCTTCTATGATAGTATTAGTATAAATTTTTCATGTTGTAATAACAGTAAGTGAAATTCAAACAATATTTTTTGACCTTCATCGTTATCAAATTTATCCAGTGTTGTGATAAAATATCGTTTTTTTATCCATTCTTTGCTTGAATTTCATTCACTCCAACTCAATAAATGTTTTTACTTATTTCGATAATGTAATAAGAAGACGAAGATTATCAGAACTATGTGATATATTAGCGCAATACATTTCGAACAAACTGATCACACATATACTTGTTAAAAACAGTTTGTTCACACCTTCAACCTACCCTGGTAATAATAGCTTATTATCCAGAGTGATCAGGTTTCAAATTGTTCTCACATTATTTTATCACTATTATCCTTGTCTATTCTTACCCCTATTTCCAGTCTAGTTGACCTTTAATTTTTATATATAAATGTTCTTAACAAGTATATGTGTGATCAGTTTGTTCGAGATGTATTGTGCTAATATATCATATAGTTCTGATAATCTTCGTCTTCTCATTACATTATCGAAATTTATCAAAGGGACTAATTGCTTTTACTTATCTTCTGTAAGTTAAATAATTTTCGTTGAACTTTAATTTTACTAACGAACAAAATCTCTATTAGGAAATCGAATATCTTTCAAAAGTCCCAAGGAGTTGAAAAGAATTACATGTAACTTATAAAACCTAGTAAATAAAAGCTAACATTAAACAACAAATAAGATAGGTTGTTTAAAGATGGAATGTTTTAGAAATTATTTTCAGTTTAATGCTGATAAAATAAATTCTTTCGAAATAGCTTTGGTTTATATATATATATATATATATATATATATATATATATATATATATATGAGATGAAGGTACATCCAGCTGACGATTCCCAAATAGAACGAAATGCGCCTCCTGGATTCCACTGCTAGCTACTATCCATCTTTGCTTATTAGGGGATCGTTGTGTAGAAACATCGTGAAGACTGTTGGGAAAAATTTAAAAACGCATTTATTACTTGTTTAAAGGTTTAGGATTGAGTTGATCGATATATATGGGAATACCAACACCAGAATGTAAGTAAATTTAGATGACATCCGAAATATGAACAAACGTGTCACACTAGTTACCATCAAAAATATAAGCATCAGAATATTTCGAACAAATTTTTCCCATGTCAGTACTTATGATGAGAAAAAGAACAAATATATTGACAAATCTAACGATTATAGAATGTATGACAAAACTGATGCATATTAATTAAGAAGGAACAGTACAAACATGTGAGAATCTATTTCAAAACGTTAGGCAGGTCGAAGTAATATGTATTACAGAAGCACATATGTAAACACAAAAAACATAACTGAAGTTTTATGAGAAAACCAACACTGTTGGGAATGTGATTTTTCTGTATACCGCTTAACGTAGAAGAAACGTTATAAGAATCTAGGCATTATAAATCAAATTCTGGTTAATATAAAAGACTGTATATTTTACCAGGAGTAAATCTACTGCGATATCTTCTATGAAGATAAGACTCAACTACAATTGAGTGTTGTGCTATGATGCGTTTATAAATATATTTTAACAAGTGATTCACACAAATAGAGCTGCGATTTAAGGGTTCGGGTTAAAACCTTCAACCATTAAATTTCATATCTAAGCTTCACTTCAACTACGTTAGAAAAACAAGGTACCATACCTCACGAAGACATGAGCGAAATACATGAGGGTGTACGTAGTTTCCATTTTATTAAAGTTTAAGCGATAATTAAATGTGTCGCCACATACTTCCTTGTATAAATTACCTTAGAACAGGATTTAACCCTATCTCTTCACAATCACAACACGATTCGATAGGGAACATCATCTTCCCCGTATACAAAAGCGTTTAAAACGTTCACGTTAAAACTGATGCAAAAACAAATTTGAGCAAATAATTTTTTTATTCATATGAAAAAAAGATACAAGACTTTATCTCCTTACAATATTCATCAGTACAGATATTATATAGAGATTTGTATTTAAAAGTTCTTTGATAAAACAAGCACCTGTCTTTATTTTCTATTCATGTACACACTAAAAGATATAGACAAACAATTTTCACGCTAAACAGAAAAAGCAAACTACATATTTTCAGACACTGTTAACTTCCTTATCATTCAGAAGGATAGATAGAGAGGAACTATAAATAGATTGAAAATTTGTACTAAATTATAATGTAATCCACAAAGAAAACTGTTAACTAAACATTAATTAAATTATATATGATATAGCTAATAACTGTCACGAAAAACAATACACATTAAGTAGTATGTAATAAATGAGAATAAAAAGAAAAAGAGCTGCAGCAGTTAATCAATAGGTCAATGAACATATAAAGAATAGATGTACCACGTAATGCATACACATTTATGTAATGCAAAAAGGATTAAAATTGTTTTATTTCTCGTTTCTATATTAAAAAGAAATAATATTGAGCGTAGCGAGCAGGAAGTTATTTTCTATAGTAAAGAAAAATTCTGCATCTTTATTTCTCATTACGCTATAAAAAGAAATTAATAGATTTGTAAATGCCTAGAAAGTTAACAGTAGTCAGTCAACTTTTAAGGACAAGAAGTAACATATCATGAATCTCAGAAACGTTTTTATCACCTGAGATAAGAAGGAAGTATGATGAAGTAAATAATGAATAAAAATAAAGGCAAATTACATCGGAGTAATAATACCTGAAAGATATTACATCGCTCAGATTTAATTTCTTGTTATCTTTGTTTTCGTTCAGGTGAAGTCAGTTTTGAGAGAAAGAAGAGAGTTAGATGAATTAATATAATTAGTCAACATCATTCTCATGTTTAGAAAATTAAACCAAAAGTACAATTATGCATACAGACGAGCGAGTAAGTGAGCAAACAGAGCTCACATCCTTCGATAATACGTAAAGGTGCATATTTTAAAATAATTTTTAAAAAATCCACTGATATTACTTAAAATTATCGTGGGATATTACATGAAATAAAAGGTTGTTTTTGTATGCTTTTTATTATCATCTTGACTCAAGTGTATACCCAAAATGAAAAAAAGAAGACGACAAAAATGTCGATAAGTTTTTTGTGAAGATAATAAAACGGAGATAAATGTAGTTAATAGAATAGATGAACGAATACGTATGTTTATATCGGAAGTTGGAAGAGGCGTAAAGAAAAAGTAGAAAACAACAGTTATGAGATTACATATCACTTTTTCCTGTCTCTACCACTGAAACACCTTAATTGTTGAACGGGCGGTAGGATTCTACCTGAATTAGAAGAAACATAAATTATATTATAACAGTTAAAGTTAACAATTATACTACTGATAAATTGCAAAAAATATATTAGTACATTATTAGAGAGTGAAGATTCGGGGAAAGAGAGGAAAATTGCTAGAAAAAAATAAGTAGAATAATTAAAAACGTTTACAGACAAAAAAAAATAATGGAAAAAGAGGCAACTTGTCAACATTGGACACACGAATACAAGTAAACAAGATTAAAAAAAAGAATATCAAAGTAGGAATAAACCAATATAATAAAATCGGAGTGAAAAAAATACATACATAAACGAAAATCAAATTTGTAAGTGAGGGATCGAAAGTAGAGACTGTAGAACTTGTGCAATTATTTTGAGCATATCTGTATTGATATAAAAGAAACCAATTTTCTTTAAATCAATAAACAGGATAGACAGTACCCACCTATAGATTTCTTTTGTTAAGAAGTTTGAGAAAACTCTTGCTAGTAAAAAAAGATGAAGGTCGTAATAATAATGTTGATAACGGTAATAATAACGGCGATAGCAATAATAGTAATAATAATAATAAACGTGAATAAAGCATAAAAATTTTCTCTTTTCGTAGAATAATCTCAGGATAATACAAGGAGGGAAAGAGACAGGGCTTTCAGCTCGAACTCATTTTTTAAAAAAGGAAACCATAGATAAAATATGTAAGATAGGAAAACAAAATAGATTAGCATATTAAAAGACAACAAAGACATGAATAAAATGCAGTTAAATAAGGATTATGTCGTTTTTTCCACTTCTTTTCTTTTAGGTATTCCCTTGTGGTGCCTCTTTTCTTTGGTGAAAGTAAACAAAAGGAACAAAATAATCAGACTGTGAGTGTTACATAGGAAAAAGGGAAATTAACACACTAAAGGCTGCCCATGTACACACATGCATATTTCAGTTTATTACTTATGAATGCTGCTGTTCAATATTCAATTCCGGTGGATAACCGTGAAGAAATGGACAGGTGGATCCTTTGAAACACTCACCCATCTCCCAGAATTTACAAGTCACTTTTGTTAAATCATGCGCAAATTCACAATCTTCTTTTTTACAATGTCCACGTAAGTAGAAGCTGCATGCCCGACGCCATTTAGCTACAACTGGTTTCCCATTGACTAATTCTGTACCTGGATATAATAATGAATCTGATGGTGTTATTGTCGTAACTGCTCCTGATGCCATTTGACTATTCGTACAACAACGTGACTTATTACCTGACAGTTGGGAATTCGGACCTGCTTGTTTTACTGAATTTAAAGTACCCACTGAACAAACTGAAATGTTGCTAATGTTTGAAGGTATATTATGATTATTGTTTTGTCGTCTACAATGAGCAGTGGGAAATCCCTGTAAAAATTACAAAAGTACAAATAATTGAATATCTTTAAGAAATGATGTATTAAACAAGTGTAGAATAAACCGAAAAGACATAGTCATAGAAGTTAGACACATTACAAATATTGTATCTTTGTGGTCGATATATTATGTTATCATAATAAATATTTGTGAGGACAGAACTGTTTATTCAGAAGTTCTCTATATCAGAAACTAAAAAAGATATGTTTAACCACTTGAGATTAAGATTATCCTGTGATAATTTAGTTCTCCCTAAAATAACATTTTATATCTGTATAGGTAGTAGATTCATAGAAAATCTCGCGGTTCGCTGTAAGTGGATTCAGAGGATTACGTTTTTTGCATTATGCTCAGTCGATCAACCACAACGTAGGACCAGGCACATATATGCATCGGTTCAAGTTGTCATACCCCATAAGCACAACGCCAAATTAATAAAAGTAGTTACTTAAATGGTAGTAATGCATTAAAGACAAATTTCAAATAAGGATATGATACAGAGAGAAAGAAAGGTATAAAGTAATTTTAATCTCATGGTTTAAGGGAAGAAAAAGAATGTACATACCGACACCATTGTGGTTGATTCTAAGCCATGTCACACAGAATATCCAACAATTGGTAAAGATAGTCGCGTGGACCCCAACAAACTAGTATACATCTACCGATATGGATAAGACCAGAATTTAGTGACTTTATGGACTGATGCCACACTTTGGTTTGGCCGTCGCAAAGTTTCTTCCAACCGTCTCCAACACTAGTCAACATTGAGCACCGTGATAATCGGTTGATAGGTATGCGTAATAAGTGGACCAATTATCTCAAACGATGTAGATTCACAAAGTCATCAACTGAATTATCATCATTTACTGATATTCTGCGTCTAATCTCACTATTACTTACCCGGTAGTCCCAGCAATATTTATAAGGCATCTGTGATCAAATACTAGTAATTCACGTGTGACCTCTACCCTTCTTGGCTGCGTTTCGCAGCCGTAAAGTAAAACATAAAGAATTGCCGCTACATGAGTCTCACTGCATTACACGACGTAAAACCAGATAGTACAAACTTGAATCAATAAAAAATTCAGAAAAACACTGGAAGAGGTGAAAACCAAAAGATGAGCTGACATAGCTTCAGATCACCATCTGGTGAGTGCCAAGATTAAACTGAAACTAAACAAGCATTGGAAAACTGGACAAACAACATTACAAAGGTTCAATACATCCTTCCTTCGAGATAATCGCGAACTCAACGAATTCAACATAACTCTCAACAACAAGTTCCGATTCTTACAGCATCTACTGAAAGAACAAGAAACTACGATGGAGGACAACTGGAAATTGATCACAGAAGCACTAACTTTGATGTGTAAAGAGGTTCTGTGACGCAACAAGCATCATCATAAGGAATGCTTCTCTATCGAAACTTTGTACAAGATTCAAGAAAGGAAAAAGAAGACAGCGATTAACAACGGTCGAACACGAGCAGAGAAGGTCAAGGCACAATCCGAAAACACAGAAGTAAACAAGCAAGTGAAGAAGAGCATTAGAGCCGACAAGCACAAGTACGTGGAAGACCTAATAACGACAGCGGGAAGAGCTGTAAGAGAAGGAAATATGAAACAACTATATGAAACGACGAAGAAATTGGCAGGAAGATATAGCAAACCAGAGAGACCAGTCAAGGACAAAGAAGGAAAGACAATCACTGAAATTCAAGAAAAGTGGAATAGATGGACAGAACACTTCGAGGAACTCTTCAATAAACCAGTTCTATTGAACCCACCAGACATCGAAGCAGCACACACAGACATTCGTACAAATTTCACTCAATCAAACGATCGAAGAAATCAGTATGGTTATCAGACAAATCAACAATGGGAAAGCAGTAGAACTTGACAATATACCAGCTGAAGCACAAAGGTCGGACATACAATTAACTGAAAACATGCTCTACGTTCTATTCATGAAGACTTGAGAGAAGGAACAAGTACCGGCAAACTGGGAAGAAGGACATCTCACCAAGAAAAATACTGAAATCTCCACAAAACCCCTTCTGATCAAAAGAGGAAGTTCAGGGTTGAAAGTCAAGGTAGGAGGAATAATAAGAATTGAAGATGGAAATTGATTATGAACACAGTGGTCCTGAGTGCTATTAGAGGTATGAGGGGGTTTTCACTTACCGGTTGCCCACACCGTGGAAGGATTCTTATAGAGGTGCTTGATGAGTAAATTCGGTTAGAGTTGGTCTTAGTGACCTGAGAACGTGACCGCAGTGTCCAAGGGACAATTGCCTTGGGCTGGTCAAACAACCTTTTTGTGAGTAATTTTCGTGTTAGCTCCGTTCTTTAAAGGCCCTTACCGTCGGGGACGGAATTCCGTGGGATAAGTTGATGTGTACATTTTTAGGGTCGGCCTTTTCTAACCCCTTCCTTCCTTGTGGGAAGGCAGCATCGCTGTTATGCCAGTCGTCTGAGGGAAACACCTTATAGCCGTCACATCTCTGCACAGTCAGCAATATTACTTCACCCTCGGACCTTGGGTTTGCTGTTTTTAGTCTTACGATCTTCAACTGACCTGTCTGGCATGGTAGGACCTTGAGGAACGATTGTTCCAACCAATATACTTGGATTGGTTCATCACGACCACCACGTCAAGGTGGCATCAACGGTCCTCACAAAATACCAGAACTTTACATTTCATTATTTTGCGTAGGTTGAAAGCAATCATTGAGACACGAAACAAGAAGTGTTAGAAACGACAAAGACAATTCTTTCCTGGACCGATTTTTCTTGTTTTATTATTTTCCATTTAAATAATTTGGTAAAGATGAGGTTTAATTTTTGAAGTGCTAAAAAAGCCAATTGTTCACTCCTAGAAACACGGCTATGAGAAAGCTAGATAACAATGGAAGGATGAAACTTCCGAAATCAAATTGGTTATATTAGTTCATAATTCCAATGTTGCCACGAAATATTCATTTGGCAAAAATATCCGTCTTTCTGTTAAAAAACTGTTACAAGACCTATTGATCAGTGAAGCTGACAATTCTGAAAGTGATATAAAAAGAGATTTTGTAGAAATAACCTAAGCTAGAACAAAGGAGATATTTACTACCCATTGATTTCTTATTATTCAACTGATCTTTGAATGGCAGATAGACAAAAGTGAGTACTGATAGAAAATTAAATCTATTCACATGTTCATCATTCATTATTCCATTTGAATCAGAGATAAATGAATAAAAGGTTTAGAATAGAATGCTCAGTAAACAAATTTCTGTAACTCAAGCACACTTGAAAAACAACGTAGTCTACGCACAGAATTACACCTTTATAAAAGTGGATGAATATTTCACAATTATTACAAGTTAACTAAGTAGAAAACCTAAATTAATCTTATTAAAAATTATTTACCAAATTTACCTTTGTTATACTGAAGTAATAAAATAGTTTGTCTCAATATCAATGGACTTCATTTAGTTTAGCTAATTTCCCATAATTAATCAAATGCTATATTTCCAAATAAAAAATAACTTTGGAATTCACTGTATGATATAAATCACGAATTACTGAATAGTACAGTCTAGTTTCTTCATTCTATTTTCTATAAGTAATAATAGTCATACGATTTATCATGTGAATCGCTTGTTTGTAACATGAAATAATAATCCAAGAAGCACATGTTGTCATGGTGTGGTAAAAATATAAGCATAAACATACCTGATGATAAGTGGTGTCATATTAAAAAAATTCTAGAATTTGATCTATTCATTTCGAGAAGAAAAATTCAACAAACAATATCTAATATTCTGGAGATTATAAAAAAAAGTAAGCAAGTTTTCACAGCTTTGATTTGATTATTGAAAGGACATTTATTTGCGAGAATTGAGAGATTGAAATTATACCAAAAAAGGAATCTGATGGTAGTGAGCCAGTTATCATCTACATAGAGCCTGTCAATAATATCGATCAAAGTGCCAGATACATATATACTGATTGATGACTAGGTAGTGTCCAATATTGTCTGTCTAGTCCTTTAGTACTGATCAATTTTGTCAATCAATTTGTAGTGTGATCACTAGACTAATCGGCTCGGTATCGTGTAAATCTTTTTTGATGTTAGTTAAAAATAGGCGTAATGTAAACTTAGACTCTGGTTTTATGATAGTTGGGAATGACCACAGCAAGGTGATACCTTGAATCTTACGGAAACTAACGTAACCTAGCTTACTCTAGTGACCAAAAAGTAATGCACTTTTCATCAAAAGTAAGTTTTAAGACGAATTTCACGAAGAAAATAAATAAAACTGCGTTATAAGAGATCCCTGAAAAGACAAACGTATTCAGACAACAATAAGATAAGAAACAAAAACCATCGATTTGGATTTTATAGTGGAAAAACAAATCAAGGAAATAACAAACCTCCTGTTGTTGTGATCCATTTAAATTTTTCACAGTAGAATTAATAGTACACATTGGCAGTGGTAAACTTCCAAATGTCATTTTATTTTTGCCAGATGTAGATGTAGAATGTCCAATAATAGGTAGGCGATTCGTACTTAAATTTCCAGTTGTAAATGGATAACTCACGTTAATAATCGGTGTACTATTGATAGAGCATGATGTTGTCGTTGTTACTTCTGGTCCTATTGTAGATAATGATGTAGTAATAGAAGTATCTTGATGATATCCAACTGAATGGGATCGTGCTAATATATCTCTTGTATCGCACGGTAAGCTATTAATTGCTTCTGAAAGAAAATAAAAAAAATGGCTAGTTTAGCAGTATTTAACGTGTAATGAACAAGATTACGCTCATTAATTGCAATTGTTTGAGACTTTAATGGTATGGTTCAAAATCAGTCTACTTATAGATTCTGAGTTACAGTAATATTCCATACTCTTTGTACCATGGATTCACTACCTCTTTTCGAACCAAATCCTCTATTTTAATCTTTATTTCACCATCAATGATACTACAGGCACCTCTAATACATTCATATTTATCTTGTTAATTTTATATCTCTGTACTCAACCGTAGCAGCTACCTTGACGTGGTGGTCGGGCTTGCTCATCGTGATGACACAACCAAGCTATATTGGCTGGAACAAATGTTCCCGTAGGTTCTACCATGCCAGGCTGGTCGATTGAAGAACGGTAAGACTAAAAGCAGCAACTCAGGGTCCGAGGGCGAAGTCGTACTGCTGACTGTAGAGGGGTGTGACAGCAGTAAGGTGTTTCCCTCGGACAACCAACATAACAGCGATGCTGCCTTTTAACAAGGAAGAAAGGGGTTAGAAAAAGTCAACGCCTCACCACAAAAAGGCCGTGCGTGACCGGCCTCAAGTAGTTGTCTCTTGGGCTCTGCAGTCACGCTCTCACGTCGTTAAGACCAACACTAATCCAACTTCTTTTTCAGGTCCCTCAAAAAATACCCTTCCACGGTGTGGGCAGCCGGGAAGTGATACTAGCCCTCATACCCATAACAACACATGAGACCAAGTTGGTCACATTCAAATCCTTCCTACACCTAATAACTCTGTTATCTCCAAGACTAACCCTTCCCACGTCCTTTTATCACCTCGCACCGCTAGGGCAAACGACTCGAGTACACAGAACGTTATTCCTAGTCTCCTGAAACCACACTCTAAACTACATGTAAAAACTTTTAATGTCCGAACATTGTGCCAAATAGGACAACAGGCTTCCTTAGCTAGGACTTTAGAATCTAGCACCATCGATGTGTGCTGCGTCTCCGAAACGCGCATACAAGATCCGAGCAGCGTCATTCATTTTACCGCACCTAATCAAAATAAAGTTTCATCTCGATACACGCTTCGTGTATCTGGAAGCCCTGATGCTGCTTCCCGTGGCATCGCTGGAGTAGGTATAGCATTAAGTCCTAGGGCAGAACTAGCTCTTTTGGACTGGATCCCAGTAAACAGTCGTCTGTGCGCTTTCCGACTAAACGGATCAGTAAGGACTCGGAAAGATAGGGAAACTCGTCGTTGCCTCTTCGTCGTCTCTGCCTACTCTCCCGCTGACTGCAGCTCAGATGATATAAAAGATGAGTTCTACAGGAAACTTTCTGACCTTCTCCGAGAAGCTAGGCGTTCTGATGTAGTAATAGTAGTTGGTGACTTTAATGCTCAAGTAGGTAAACTAAGCGAAAAAGGGAAAGACACCTGGGTGGATCTTATGGTGTCGCGGCTAAGAGAACAGATAATGGCGACCATCTGTTGCAGCTATGCTCAGATAACCGCCTGTTTCTTGCAAATACAAACTTTAAGCATAAGGAAAAACATATTTTGACATGGCAACCCCCGAATTCCGCCCATCGTTCTAAACGTTTGGGTTGAGAGCAGATAAGGGTTCCGTCTTTTTCCGAGATTGTCTCACTTACACTTGACTTCTTAATTCCGGTTTCTTTTATTAGTCTGAATAGTTGCCTGGTATTCCCTACAGCCGCTGCCTTTTCCATCTCTTTTGCTTTGGTTGCCCACCACTGCTCACGATCGTTCCTTAGACTTTTAGTTAACCTAGATCTAATTTCTTTACGCTCTTCGTCATGTTCAGAGCCTGATGGGATGAGTTTACGCGAATCCATCAGTGAAATAGACTTAGAAGAAAACCATTGGTTTTTTGGAGCCCTATGGTTTAAATGACTAATAGATGTAACTGCTGTTTCCACAGCTGTTCGTATGTCTTTCCAATCAATATCTGGGTCAGTCTTGTTTACAGAACTGCCTAGATGTGAACTCAGTTGTTTCTGGAATTCGCATTTGGCTTTCTCGTCCTCCAGTTCAATCCTAATGGGTCTTCTTAGTGTACTTTTCCTGCGTCCATTGAGGCGCAGACAAATGCGCGCTCGTATTAAAGCGTGATCAGAGTCTAAACAAGTATTCCAATACGAGCGACAATCTTCTATTGAGCCTCTCCAACGATGACTGATGACAATATGGTCTATTTGAGTCCATCGTTGGTTTGGTGCAGGTGGTCGCCATGTTAGACGATGTCTCTCCTTATGTTTAAAATTAGTGCTTGCTAAAAATAAACGATTGTCTGAGCATAGTTGCAACAGACGATCACCATTATCGGTTCGTTGAGCCGGAATACTAAAACACCCACCTAAATGTCTTTCTGTTTGATTCAAGCTGCCTACCTGGGCATTAAAGTCACCCGCTACGACTACTATGTCTGAGCGCTTAGCTTTCTGAAGAAGCTCAGAGAGCATTCTGTAAAAGTCATTTTTCATTTCATCACGGCTGCAGTCAGTGGGAGCGTAGGCAGAAACGACGAAAAGGCAACGACGTGTGTCCCTATCCTTCCGAGTTCTTACGGAGCCATTCAGCCGGACAGCACACAGGCGACTGTTAACGGGGATCCATTCTAATAGTGCCTGTTCTGCCCTTGTACTTAGTGCTATGCCTACACCTGCAAGTCCGCGAGAACTAGCCAACGGGTCACCAGATACACGGAGGGTGTATTTCGTTGGCTGTCCATTTTGACGAGGTGAGGTCAAGTGAATGACCACACTAGGATCCTGTATGCGTGTTTCGGAGACATAGCATACATCAATGGTACGAGATTCTAGGGTTTTAGCTAAGGAGGCCTGTTGACCGATTTCACTTAGGGTACGAACGTTGAAGGCTCCAATGTGTAGTTTGGAGCGAGGTTATAGTAGACCTGGGACAGCGTTTCGCGCACTAGAATCGTTGGCCATGGTGACACTTGAGGAGGAAACCGGAACAGGAAGTTTAGTGTTGAAAGTCAAGGTAGAAGGAATAGTAGGAATTGAAGGAGACTGATTATGAATACGGTGGTCTTGAGTGCTGTTAGAGGTATGAGGGCAGTTATCACTTCCCGGTTGCCCACACCGTGGAAGGGTTCTCCTGGGGGTACCTGAAAAGGAAATTGGGTTAAAAGTGGTCTTAATGACCTGAGAGCGTGACCGCAGTGCCCAAGGGACAACTGCTTGAGGTCGGTCACACACGACCTTTTTGTGGGTAGTTTTTGTGTTAGCTCCGTTCTTCAAAAAAAACCTTACCGCCGGAGACGGATATCCGTGGGATAAGGCGAGGTGTGCATTTTTAGGGCCGACCTTTTCTAACCCCACCCCTCCTTGTGGGAAGGCAGCATCGCTGTCATGCTGGTTGTCTGAAGGAAACACCTTACTGCCGTCACACCTCTGTACAGTCGACAGTACGACTTCGCCTTCGGACCTTGGGTTTGCTGCTTTTAGTCTCACCGTTCTTCAACCGACCTGTCTGGCATGGTAGGACCTTGAGGAACGATTGTTCCAGCCAGCATAGCTCGATTGCTTCATCACGATAGGCAAGCCCGACCACCACGTCAAGGTAGCAGCAACGGTCAGGGAGCACGTATCTGTCTGCGTCTTACTGGACGTAGGAAAGACACTGCAGGGAAACCTCTTAGGGTTCTACTTAATGATAGGCAAGCTAAGAAAATATATTTCAGGAACAACTAGAAAAACAGTTAGGCAGCCATGTAAGTTGTGTCCACCCCAAGGCAGCGTGGAATGACATCCGAAAAGCTGTGAAAACAGCAATGATATCCACTAGTACGGTAAACCATAACGTTAGGGAGAAACAATGGATCTCAGCAGCATCTACCGCACTGATAGATGCTCGAAAACTCATCCCACCTGGCTCTGCAAGTCCTCCAACTCTTTCCGAGGTTGAAAAAGCTATAGGAAATCTTAAACGAGGGAGAGCAGCAAGCCCTGACAGGTTGACCCCTGAGATTTTTAAGGATGGTGGTCCAGTACTAGCAGCGAGATTGACTGAGGTCTTAGGTAGAATCTGGGAACTGGACGTAATTCCATCTGACTGGTCTCAATCACTGATTGTGCCAGTCTATAAGAAACGACAAAAGTCCTCTTGTGACAATCACAGAGGAACCAGTTTGACTAATATAGTGTTTAAAATATTAGCTTCAATAATACTTCGACGCCTAACCAAAGCTCATGAAGCGCAGACTAGAGAAAACCAGGCTGGTTTTCGACCTGGACGTGGTTGCATAGACCAGATATTCACTCCACGTCAGATCCTAGAACATAGACACAAATTCAGACGTCCCACAATAGTAGTATTTCTTGACCTTAAGGCGGCATTTGACTCCGTTGATCGTGAGGTTCTATGGCAGTGTTTGTTACTGAAAGGAGTACCAAAGAAGTACACTAACTTCATAAAGGCTCTCTACTCGAACACAACTGGTTGAGTTAGAGCCTATGGCGAACTGTCATCAGAATTGATTACCACAAGTGGTGTTAGTCAGGGCTGTCCACTCTCTCCATTCTTGTTTAACTTTGTCGTTGACGTGCTATTAGAAATAACACTTTCATCATCTCAATCTCCAGGAGTTGAACTTTTACCGGGAGGCTCACTTGTTGACTTGGAATACGCCGATGACATAGTTTTATTCGGTGAAGACTCTGACAAAATGCAGAGTCTTCTGACCACTATAAGCAACTATGCAGACATGTTCGGGATGCGATTCTCTCCCTCGAAGTGCAAAATGTTACTTCAGGATTGGGTTGCATCGGCACCTGAACTAATGATAGGGAGTGAAGTAGTTGAGCGTGTAGACCACTTCACTTATCTTGGGAGTCTCATCAGCCCTTGTGGTCTGGTATGTGACGAAATCTCAGCACGGATACAGAAGGCTCGTCTAGCTTTCGCCAACTTGCGTCATTTATGGCGTAGGCGAGATATCCGTCTAGCAACAAGAGGACGGGTTTACTGTGCGGCAGTCCGTTCCGTCCTACTTTATGGCAGTGAAAAATGGCCAATAAGAGTAGAGGATATTTGTAGGCTACTAGTATTCGATCATAGGTGTCTTCGAAGCATTGCTCGTATATCCTGGGACCACAGGGTAAGTAATGCAGTTGTTAGGAAACGAGTACTAGGTAGGGATGGCAAATCGATTGATGAAGTAGTGAAACTTCATCAGTTAAGATGGCTGGGACATGTCTTACGTATGTCTAACCACCGACTGCCCTGACGTGCAATGTTTTATAGTGGAAGAGTAAGTTTGAAGAAAGCTAGGGGCAGCCAGACCAAAACGTGGCACAAATCCATAAAGTCACTGACAATTGAACTGAGCCAGGCTGGTAGGTGTAGACTACCTGGTTGGGATTCGCGAGATGATAGCAATCGATGGTTAGAGACCTTGAATGACATGGCTCAAAATCGTTTGCAATGGCGAAGGTGCATCCACTCTTTGTGTTCTGCCAAATTATAATCTTCTGAATTCCTCATGTCTTTATCTTTTTTCTCTTTCCAAATTTATTTCATTGGATTATACTCCTTCAATAACATCTTCAAACCCTAATCTTTCACATAATGCTTATACTCTTACTACTTCTACCACTATGGGATTTGAATCGACAACTGCATCTGTGTGCTAATGTGGTATGGCAACTCGAACTGATGTACGTACGTACGAAGTTCTACGTTGTGGCTGACTAACTGACCTTTAAGTTTGGCGGCAAACGAAAAACCATCAAATTACTGAGTTGGGACTTACTTATTTGCATTCATAACTTAAGACGACCAGTAATATTATAGTTAAAATACTCACGAATTTTATAAGACATGAATGGTGGAATGGTTTATTTTAGTGAGTAGGATGATTTTAAGAATTATTTGTTGCTTTGAGTCGCATTTGATGTAATCGCTATACCTCTAGAGAGCAGTAATATTCTATGATAATAATCCAGTCGGAAAAACCTACGCAGATGCATTTATTTTTGATGACTATCACTTTCGTTACACATTCAATATATTTCCTCTTATCGATTCGCTTTCGCTGTCAGATGAAAGCTTTAAAAATTCGTATTGATGGACTGTAGTATTAGACTCTAAACTATAACATCCAGTTTTTTAAACCACAAAAGTGTTTAGAGTGTTGTAAAAAGGAACTATCGTATCATAAAGTCAGATAGCTCACCTGACTCGGTTTAAATAGCCAATAAATAGTATTTTTACTTTGAAGCCATCACCGAGAACCTTTATTGCTTAGTTCGGGATAGATGTCCACTCGAATGCAATGGACTTAGTAGAAGATTCCATATGACTTATTTGACAGTTCAAGTCAACAAATTAACTTTCATTATATAATAAATAAACATACATTATTAAAAAATAAACTTGTACCTGTCGACCATCCAGTAGAATTATTTACTGATGTCAATGAGAATGATGCGATAAAATTATCATTACGTTTGTTATTTGGGTTATTAATACATTTCGTATTAAATATCATTTTATCAGATGAATTCATTGGTAATTTATCTGAATCATTGTTTAAACATTCATATTTCATTATATCTACAGGAGTTGATGACACAGTATTAGAATGCTGAAGAAATATTTTCGATGATAATGGCGGTAGATTTGTTGTTTGAGGTGATTGAGATGGATGTCTTAATAGTTGTGTCTCATGCATTAACGACATATTGGATTGAAATGATTTACTATGATTCCATAGATTTTCATCTTGATTAACAAATAAACCCATTGAGTTACATTTGTTATTATTAACACTACCATGATGAAGAGAAGGTGAATTAACTGAAGTTGTATGAACAGCAGTTGTATTACTGGTATTAGTAGTTGAGACATTACATAAAAGATTTTTTAAATCCAAATTTAAATAATTTAACATCTCTATATCATTATCAGTTAACATATTTCGGTTATTGTTAATTAATTCAACAAGTAAATTGTTTGATTCTATGGATGAAGTTAACACTTTTGGATTATGCTGAGTTACACTAACAGGTAAAGTTGGCCAACATGATTTTGACTTATCCGTAAGAACGTTTTTAACTTGTGCAGAATCGGTTGGTGGTACAACATATTTAGTGACAGCAGGAGCAGTAACATCGATTGGTATAGTTGATGGAATATTGGAATAGTATGTCGTATTCGGTTGACAAGATGATATCGGGACCTGTAGGAAAAAACACTTGTGATATATACTATATCATAATATATTAAATTGTGTAACATGTTTAATTTTTGAAATTTATTGGTAAATCGTGTGTATACATAAGAAACGAAGTTTACACAACTAAGGGGAGAATATTAAACAAAATGCAGACATCAATGTTCTTGTTTATTTCTCTTACCTCATTTGAGTATGAGTACGATAATGATAGAGGTAAACGCCCAAAAGAAGAACAACTAAAGACAAGAAAACAAAAAAGGACACACTATTTCATTAAATAATTTAAACACACATCTATACACATAAAATCTATTTATTATTTTAAGCACCTTCCTTATACCATCTGAACTGAATACATTAAGTTTTTTTAGAGTAAACGATAATGATCATTAGTTTTGATCCGATAGAGAAGATCCCTACATGAAAAATGGAAATCTGATATTACACTTTCAAGCTAAAATATATACTCAAAAATATGATCTGAACAACTTTAAAAGAACTAATAGTCATTAGAGCACGAAAGAGGACTACATAGTTCTTAGACGATGTCTATTGGGATATCTGATCAAACAAAGTTATCCGTAGAATTGTACACAATCAATGATTGTGAGGCTATAGAAAATATCCGTTCAATGGTTATAGTGAAAAAATCATACATTTTATATCCAACTACTGTTCATTTTAATCATTATTCAGTGGTCTACAGAATACTATTAAAAAAATTTAACTGAAATTATATAAAGCTGATTAAATGAAGAATCCGACAATTGTACAATAATTAGTATTAGAATTAATGTACTATTAGGAATTCCCGAAATACAGTAAATTAAGAGAGGAAGAACTACATGAGCACAAATGAACGTATTATGTTTGCAATTCGTAATCAGCGGGCAATCAAGTATAAAAGACCCACTAGTTCGTACAAATACCACAAAGTAGTTAACTATTGAATGTTCGTGCGTTATTATTAAGAATCATTATCAAGCGAAAAATCAATGACATTACTACTAATAGTCTTCCTGCTAATTTTTTTCCACAAATGAAAATCAACACAAAAAAGACAGTCTTGAACATGTTCAATATGACAGTTATTTTTACAGAAATTTTCATTGTTGATATACATGTCGATAATTTTAGTTCAGATATGATAACACCACTTCCCATGGTATTTTTTGATTCGCCTAGTTTGTTTTCAAGGAATAAACTCAAATCCATTTAAGCAAAGATGGATAGTGGCTAGCAGTGGAATCCAGGACGCGCGTTTCGTTGTATTTGAAACTTGTCAGCTGCATGTACCTGCATCTCAGAGTTCATGTCCACTCTGGGACTCGAACCCAGCGCCTTTCGCTTCAAACGCCATCGCGTTATCCACTCGGTCACTGAGTCCTGATAGCCACTTGCTTGTGCAATGGGGTGAAGTTGAAATTTACTTCGATATTTTCTAGTTATAATAAACAAGCTATTTATATAACATTTGTTACTTTTTGTATGCATAAATCAATGATAAACAATAAAATGATGATGAAAGTTAAGTTCTAACCCAAAATACCAATACACACGTACATCATCAATCAGATAATCCCAAAATAAATAAAGAAATGCAATGTTAACTTATTTATCAATTGCATACTTACTTAACTTTTAGTCACATTGTTTTGAGTGAAAGTTACTTAAAATGAAGCAAGTAAAGTGGGAGGGAGTCGAACACAAACCTAGCGTTCATGATCTTAGTGATTTAACGACTAAATCACCTTTTTATCAACTTTTATTAGGACGATCAAGTAGTAGTGCTAGTGATCACACGTGACAATTTGTCTCAAAACTGAACACAACACCTAAGTGAACTCGATTACAGATCAATTAATTCAATTCTACTTTCTACTAGTCATAATCTTAAGCACACTTTTTCAAAAAGTACTTATTATGAATAGAAATATCATCAATAAAAGTCTGGAACAATTGAGTGATGAACAAATGCATCACAAATGACAGAATAAGACATTAGTAGTAATAAGCTATCAGGACTCGGTATCTAAGGAGATAACGCGATGGCGTTTTAAGCGAACGGTAGTGGGTTATAGTCTCAAAGTGAACACCAACTCTGGGATGCAAGTACATACAGTTGATGAGTCTCAAATAGGACGAAACGAGCCTTCTGGATTCCACTGCTAGCCACTATCCATCTTTGCAAAAATTCATAATGTTTGGAAACATATGGTCTGACAGAAACAACAACACAAGCTTTCTTTTTAATCCTAGTGATTACACAATAATAAGACGAGTAAGGAAAAAATAAAGTGAATCAATTGTCTATTTCTTTATCCCTCTCAAACATTTTGTGTAGCAATTGTAAATAAGTGAATGATGAAAGATTAAAAAAATAATAAGGTATTTCCCTATTTTGAGTAATTTAAACTAATACAGTGTAACAACTACGCCTATTTATTTGAAATGTGCTTTAGCGTTATTCAGAATAACAAAATTTTCGTATTAAAATATTCAACTGATTAGTGAGCATTATCAAATATAATGACAACACTTAATAATGAGTAAAAGACTGGACGATACCAATAAATGACCAATGTTGAGGTTAGATGAAGAGGCTAAGACAAGAAGTGCAAATAAAGTAAATGATGTGTATTTACAACGAGTACGATGATGACAGTATGTTTCAAAGATCCATTTAACCTATATTTCAACATAAAACGTTGCCTATAACAAAGTTTAGAGGGATACAAATTATAAATGAACTTACAAAAATATTGGACTAACATATAAGGTTAATTGAAAGTGAGAATTACACTTTAATCAATATTTAATTTATAATAAGCTCTTCGAAGGTGATACGACACATCAGAATGCGGAAATGGCTTATATCGGTTACGTGAAAACAATATCTGGAACTTAACACCCAACGGGAAATTACCTCCCATTCAAAACATTTTTCTTAAATTCATGTTAATAGTTTTAACAAGATTGTAGAAAGCATCATATCCTAAAAAATTATACGAATACAAATTTAAAAAATTACATACATTAAAAGAAAGGAGAAATGAACAACGAACATTCAACAATATATCACTATTAACTATTGACAACATAAATCACCTGGTCAGATTACCTTGTTTTAGTAGTCGTATATGAAGAATTATTTGTTTCCAAAAGTTTACCAGTTTGTTCTACTTCAGAATTCAAAAATAGCAACGATGAATGATTAGGGTGTTTCTGGACTAATTTATTGCCTATATTCATCACATTGGATAATTTATATTCCTAGAATAAAAAGCATAAGAAATAGCAATCGATTTTACATGGAGTCATCTTTCGTTGTAAAAAAAAGAATGAAGATTTGTAGAGATTATAATCATTTTAATAATTGAATTCATGAGTCGTGCTTCCAAGTTTTTACTGGTGGTCTAACATTGATCGATTCATGATCCCAATCAAAAACTCAACAACCTCCACAACCCCATGTTGCGCAAGATCATTGATTGGTTGAAGTTAGGCACTAACACCGTTGGGTACCGACCCAGTGGTCTCGAGGTTAAGCGTTTGCGTGCCAAACTGAAGGTCCTGGGTTCGAGTTTCATGTGTGGGATTATAGATGCGCACTGCTCGGGAGTACCGTACTAGGACGAAACGGCCGTCCAGTGACTCCAGGTTTTCAATGTTGGTCTAGCTCAGATTGGCTCATGAATTCAACTATTAAAAAAAGAACACATGAATTATAATGCCTGATTTTTTGACAACTTATGAACAATAAACTGAAGAACAAATAAATATACGAGCGTAAAATTGTGGAACGGTTTATTGTATTCAATTTTTTTTACCAGGATTTAAAGTGGAACAATGAAATAAAATTGACAAAGACTAGCTAACCATTAAAACAAAGCTTAAATAAGTTTAATCCACACACATAAATACACGTATTATATATAGATGAATACATTTTCAATGCAATTGATTATAAATTCAGTCTGGTCTAAATTTTATGTATTTTTAGAAGATAGGAAAAGAAAAATTGTTGAGAACTGGAGATAGGAATTAAACAAAGACCTTAATATTTAGGTCACTTAAGGTCATCTATGTTGTGCATACCAGGAGGATAAAGAGATTGAGGTAGGAATGTATACACGTAAGGTCAACAACACACAAAGAATAAGAATAAAGCATTTTAAAATAAAGCTGTTTTCCAAATCACAATTGTGTAAAGTAATAATTATGCTAACAAGATGAAAACGGAAAAATCTCACATGTACACAGTATAGCAGCTTTTTCATTAACTATAAACTGACAAAAAAACAGGAAAAATTAACGAGTGAATATAAGATAGTGGTTGGAAGTAGTCAACAGGAAACCGTGGACCTAGGTTTCGTGCTACTTGGCATTCGTCAGCAAGGTGTACCTGTAGTCTTAAGGGAACCGATGCTCCTTGACGGATTCGATCCCGTGTCACCCAGCTTCAATATCAGAGACCCTACCACTGAGCTATCCGGGCTGCGACATGATCTTCGAGTAGGAAATCTACTATGTAAGATACATTTTAAACTGTAGAATTTAATAACAGTGAGAAAAATTCTATGATTCAAAAAATTCTAACTTGAAATAATGTCACCTTTTTATATGGTCATATCAAAACAAAAATTGGTAATTGGAAGAATACAGAGATAAAATACAAAAAAATAAACGTATGATATACAACGTACTGAAAATATATAACATTAAGATAATATCAGAAAGGGGTTTTTGTGGATGTTTTAGCAATTTAATAGTTGAGATCATGAGTCAAATGAAGCTAAACCACCATGGAAAACCTGGACGGCCGTTTCGTCCTATCATGGGACTCCTCAGCAATGCGCATCCACGATCCACAATAATAGTTCAACATCTTGAGATTAAGTACATTACAAGAGTGAAATGTAAACCACAAAAGACTTTATTCACTTTACAGAATTCTATGTAAAACATGTGATTTCTTCTTTGTATAATAGAAGGTAGAGTTGAATATTTTTAATCAAAAACTCCAAACTTATAATCATGGAAAAAATAGTTTGTATGTACATTAACTCAAATTGTCCTGAGTGAAAATATACAATAATCGAAATCCCACACTTTTAAGGTAAGAGAGTTTTTAAATAACAACTGAATGTTGACTAGCTGGTCATCAAAAACGAATGTAGTAGAAATTACATCACATTATACGTATAATGTGTTGAAGTAACGGCACTCAAATTAGAAAAGCTAACACAAAATATGTGTTGCCTAAAAGCAGACTGATTAAATTGGTATTTCAATAATGATGAAACGTTAATTACATTTTCTGGATGATGTACATTCGAAATAACTATCAAACATTGTCGAATACTAGTTTCTTGCTAACATAACGTGTTTAATGCTTCCCATTTATATTTCTTTGAACATTCATTAGATTTAAAGTCTTAAATTAGCATAAAGCGTTCCCTAATTTACGTAGACATACATCTCGTCTACACTAAAGATGAAAGTGATAGAAATTGCACATTCTTCTGCCTTATGGTGGGAACCGAGAATCTTCGGAAATCAAGAGGCCTAAGACCCCTCTGACAACCAGAACAACAATTAACATAGGTACACAAAACGTTCGGACAATGTGGAAGACCGGGAGAGTCGTTCGAATAGCCACAAAATTGGGACAATACAATCTGTCTCTGGTTGGGATAAGTGAAACTCATTCGATAAAAGGAGGGAGGAGAGAAACTTGTAATCTGATAATGAGGAAGAAAATGTCGCATACACACGAGGAACTCCATCAGTGTAATTTAAAGAACCACTTAATGGTGAAGCTGTGGAGGAGATGGATGCCTTTACGTAACTGGGCGATATCAGTGATAAACAAGGAGGATCTGATGCAAATCACAAGTTGCGAATTAGCAAAACAAGGCCAGTATTTCTACAATTGGAGAATATCTGGATTCGAAAGAACTGTTGGACGACACTAACGTCACAATTTTCAATACTAACTTTGAAACAGTTATATTGCATAAATCTGCAACGTGGAGGACTACCACAACCATAACCAAAAAGCATAGATATTTATCAACACTTGTCCACGAGAGATATTCCGGATTCATTCACCACAGACCATCAGAAATCACTGACGATGTTAGAGAACGAACCAGCTCCCAGTTGAGGAAGAAATTAGAAAAAGACGTTGAAGGAGGATAGAGGACACTTGCGAAAATCATCAGACAGGATCACTAAGTAACACTTAACTCGAAATTCACAAGGTCAAAAGGAAAGAGGCAGATCAAACAATGCATGATGCCGGGAACTGAAGCCAGTATATGAAGACTAAGAACAGAAGTTCGCAATAATTGAGGAGAGCCGAGATAAAAGTTGGTTAGAGATCGCTGGTCGGCTATCCATTCCCGATTCGTAGTAGCAAGTATAAGTGAGTGAGTGGGGTTTATACTGGGCATCGAAGAGGAATATTTTCCATTTTTATATAAGGCCTTTAAAGGACTATGTATTTTGTTTGCATTTCCAACAAACACAGCTCTGTGTCCCGTCTCACAAAAGGCCTTCAGTAAGTTAGTGTACTTCTTAGTTCATCTTTCAATGACAGACATTGTAATATGATATTTTTAACCAATGAAATCAAATGGTCGCCGTTAAACTAAGAACTAGTTCGCTAAACACAATCTTGTACTGATTTGACCTTTCGTCGTAAACCATAAATTTACTCGTTTCATCAGTAAACATGGTGGTGAATCAACAACCATTAATAATTTATATAGAATATTGAAGTTTTAATGAAAAAGTGGTTTCTTTGTCAAGTTGCAAAATTTAATTTACCAGCCTCATTAATAGTGATTATCTAACACCATCTATACAGACAAAGTAGTTGCACAGAAAATCTAAGTGGGTGTGTATTCAATTATATTACAACTCATACATATACCGACAAAATATTAAAGTATGATGCCATTAACAAACTAGAGATAATTGTGTGTGAATAACATACATTTCTCACTATACAACAAACCTGTTTTACCTAATAATCAAGGTCAGTAGATGGACTAGTTTCTCAGAAAAAAAGAAAGGTGCATATACTAGTTAAAGAGAAAAGTTGCTTACATGATATCTACTAAAAACGGTTTGAGTAACTCATTTACTCAATTGAAACTAGATTCTGATAAATATATTCCCAATTTCTATTTGGTGAGCACCTCCCTATTGTTTATCTTAGCACTGACAGGAGAAAATGAATAAATACTATGATGTACCTTGTTTCAAAACTCAAAATAATAAACAAATCAGTAGAGTCTACTACTTCAAGTGAATAATTCACACACACACTATATATATATATATATATATATATATATATATATATATATATATATATATATATATATATAACCACGTTAATTTGCCTTGCTTCTAGTCATACTTTAATTCCACGAGGGCTTGTGATGATTTTTGAACTCATTAAAAGCTGAAATACACTATGGTGACAGAAATCAAGATACCATGATGACGTGAATTAATGATTAATAAATGCAGTTTCTACGCTATATCTTCAAGGAAAAAGTTGACGAGGGATAATAATGCTCATAATCATAGTAATACCAATCATAAACAAATTATAGAAACTTACTCTATCTGCAGATAATATTGTAGCAGGTTTTGTAACAACGTCAGTGGGAAACAGACAATCTTGAGAGTAGCTATTACAACTCTCAGATTCTGACAACATATTTCTAGATTCCCCTAAACCAGATGTTAATGTTGATATATTATCTCGTGGGTGAACAATAGCATTAAATCGATCCAATGAATTGCTGATTAAATGAAGTAGATCTGTACCCTCCATATCATCTTCATCGATAAGATCATTTGTATCTTTTGAAGATAGATATATGTCAGTAAGATTAGATGGACTCATACTTCGAGCATGTTGTTCCGTATTAGTTAGTCGCACATTTCTTAGTGCCTTTTCTTTGATAGGACACTGTAACGAAAAAAAGAAAATTAAGTAAATATATTTTCAGAAATGTAACAAATGGGAATACTTTTCGAAATGATTTAGACTTTTATTTTCAGTATATTCAACTCGAAATACTTAGTATAATGAGAATAAATTTTAGAGCGACCTCTCACACTTATGCAAGTGACTATTGTAACCAAATATCTAGCCATTATTTTAGGGATATTTTACACTACTGACAGTTCTTGGGAGTTCGAATTTGAGTATGTTTGTCAACACGAAGGTACCGGACCTTGGAGCTTTACAATGTAGCAGTAATATATGAGTCATGGAATTATCTACTTCTAGGAGAATTATACTAAAAAAATTGTACGCACATAATACACATACCGGATAATGAACAGATGGATTTATAGGAACCTGTGAGATAGTGGTGCGCTTTTCTGCGATTAAGGCAATGGATTTTCAGCCACTAAGTCGCCGGTTCGAACTCTGCTCACCCCACTAATTCAGTTTGGGCACTCGAGTAGTAACATTAGCCCTTACACTTAGCATTTACCTCGAATGCAACTATACGAGCGAGTACTAGGTAAATGGGTGAATATACCCGCAGAATATACAAACAATGATTTCAGTTGATTGCATTAAATTACATTTATATTTAGATATGTGTTTTGAGACTGAAAATTAATGCACAAATATTTTTCATCAGCAAGTGAAAAAAATCATCTGTATTCACAAATCCACACGCGATAGAAACTAAAATTAACAAGTCAGAATCCAATGAATCGGATTTTAGACTTTAGTAACTTCACTACCTCATTTTCCATAGTTCTCCCGATACTATTTTGTAAAATACAATTATTGTCGCATGGATATATGTTCCATCACATACAAGCAGTACTGTTAAAAAGTTTCCATAACATTCCAGTTATTTTGTTAAAAAAACAAATATTCTGATACCTAAAAGTGTGCACATATAAAACCAACAAGTATTAGGGATTCTTGACTAAGAGTAAAAATGAAAATAATATCGATATTTGACAAAACTTATCAAAATGGATTAGTTATTCATAACGAACCATGCGTATGATAATAGTTTAAATACGATTCAAGTTTTATCACAAAATGCATAATAAATCTTGTTCAATGCACCGGTTTCTGTTAATTAAAGCTACTTAAGATCAAAGCAATAACGACTTCGAATTACGTTCTACATTTTAGTCATTTCAGGTCCTTCTTAACTCCGAGAAGTAACATTTCTACGAAAGATTTTCCGTAAATCCACCTCCTAATAGTAATGCTAGAGATGATCAGTCCATTCATGCAGATCGAAAGTAAAATACTTTTCATATACTTTGAGTGCATATCAATCATTCCATAATTATGAATACTGTGTATTTTATTATCTGCAATGAACGACACATCTCACGGTGGAATGTGGATACACTTGCTTCAGCAAGTGTCTTGAAGTTTCATATAATAAACAGACAAATAAATTAATCTGGAAGAAACTATACGTACTGACATCATTACAATATACGGTCACAAAGTAGGTAGCACGGTTGTGTAACACAATGTTACAAAAAACAGGAGCTGTGTAAAAAGCAACAGATAACAACAACTTTAACTGTTGAGTGTGTTAAAGATTGTCATTCGATACAGCATATTGAACTTAGAATTACTTTTCAAGATTATTTAGTAGACGAAACTCTAGAGACGTGATTTCCCAATTCTGTATAGAAATATGGGTTGAAAATGAATTAACTGAGACAATCTAGTGAATGATTATTTACCGTTAAATTAAGTAGCCCATGTCATCAAAAAACTGATGCAGATTATTTACTTACTTTAATAGGATTTGTATGAAACTTTAAAGCATTGGACACAGAGTGGTTCAACCCTAATGCGACCATTTGATCTTTTGTGGAGTTTAGTGAACATGTGGGACTAATTATTCGTGACTCGTAAATAGGTTTAGATTGAATCGAGTGCTGAATGGAACCAGAGGACAGAACATTTGATGTATTCGTGGGAAAAGAATGAGAAACAAGATGGTTATTTGCACAGTCAATTAACCCCTCAACGAAACCTTCATCTTCCACCGGAAATGGGTTGGTAACATCAACAATCGAAGATTCTGTTAAATGACTATTTCCATTGGTAATTATTGCATCTGATTTAGACTGACTAGAAATATAAACAAAAATGTTTTGAATTAACTGGTATTATCACTTTACAACGAAAATTATGTACAACGAGTATATCAAGGGGTATTAGTAGGCCGTCGGACCTACGCATGAAGTCCCATTTATTTTGAAATGAAAAGCTTGGTACTATTTTCGAAGTTACACTCTGAAATCCGCATCTGAGGAGATTAGAAAAGTTGGGATAGAGAGTTATCCCGACAATAACATATTTTTCGTATGTTTATTTTCAAAGCGTTAACTGGTCGTTAAATGGCTACAAAGTTACGTCACAAAACCGATTCATTTCGAATACCGACTGTGTTATATAGCTTTGCTGACTGAGTTTGGTCACATAAGCCATAAACGACCGTGCTTATAAATTAGTAACCATTTCGAATAAATGGCCAGTATACTGTGTAGTTCATTTTGAACAACGTTTTAGCTGTTAAACATGGGTTTTGAAGACAAAGAGCACATGTAGGTTACTAGTTTTGACAACAGATATTTCTGAAACCCTGCTTGCGTTTAATGAAATCAAGGAAAATCTGTTAATTGGGTCGTCATTTTCATCGACTGAGATGGTTGGGATACATGTTACGCATGTCCAGCCACTCCCAACTCTGATACGCAATGGACGATACCATAGTAGTCGGAAGTTGACAGTTAATAACGGTCAAACTAGCAACATCAGTTCATAAAGTCATCCAATGTTGTTCTGAGCTCTGAACGGGAGTTCAAACTTCTTAGTTAGAGTTATTCGGTGCCATGTCTTAAAATTGGCTGCATCAGTATATGTGTATTCAGTTCACTTAAATCTTAAATTTACTTATTACTTCATTCGCTTTATCTTTATTGCGTTCTTTCTTAACTATTTTCGGTATACTCATAGTTTTCTACTATAACTCCCAGTTTTCTCTCGCTAAGTAGGTGTAGTCTATCAGTATTTATATGAGGTCCTGTGTTGTTTATATCTGAATGATTTCAGAAGTGTAGGATACTTTAGAGTTTAGACCCGCAAAACATTATTTGACAAACTAAACTATTTTATATACAGTCTTGGTTCGGCCACCCCGTTTACATTTTTTTATAGCCATAATCACAGCATGTCATAGCAATCCATAAAAAAATGCAGAATTGACCTAAAAGTTGTTTGACAAGAGATGACGATATTACCTGAGCCAAAGACATCCTATTACTAAATTAAGAATGATAGACGAACGGACATACACCATACAAATTTGTCACCTGACAACCCTCTACAATATTCAGGTTAAGGTCAGACACACCCAATAGGAAATAGAAAATATCTGCATTCTAGGTCATAATAGTTAAGCATGAGACACACCGATAATTATTCATCATCTCGTTCCTTTGTTTCAAAAAACACGTATATAGTAGGCAAAATACGACAATCTATTTACAGACATACGGTGCGATATTTTTGAATATTAAAGTTTACTGATTTTTGGAAACGGTCTACGTCATCAGGTGCGTACAACAGTAAAATGCAAACTATATTTAATCACATTAATCGAAAATTGGTGTTCATAATGTAGAATTTATGCCACAAAGTATATTAAAAATTGGTTTTGTTGTGATTGTTAACAGTGGTAAGAAAATAAATTCAACGCGAAATACATTTTACCTCCTTACCAGATAAAGCATTGATGTTTGATATGTGGATGGCACGAACAATTACAATCAGCAACGATTCGTAAAAATAAGTGGTAGTGAACTTACAGTGAAGACAGTTAGGTTTATAATAACGAAGATCTAACTGACAACATTGGGGCATATTTAGACACACCTTTAACAACTCGGATCCTGATGTTATAGTAACAGAATCCAATGGACTATTGTGACCGAATGTGATTGTCAACATGTGTTGAATTCACTGAAGAGGGTATTTACAGGAGGTGCATCCACTCTTTGTGTTCTGCCAAATTCTAATCTTCTAAATTCTTCATGTCTCTATCTTTTTTCTCCTTCCAAATTTATTTCACTGTACTATACTCCTTGAATAACACCCTCAAACCTTAATCTTTCCGATTACTGTTTATACTCTTACTACCTCTACCACTATTGGATTTGAATCGACAACTGCATCTCTGTGCTAATGTAGTATGGCAACTCAAACTGCTGTACGTACGTACGAAGTTCTACGTTGTGACTGACTGACTTCCAAATTACGAACACAAGGTACGGAAACGGTTGTCTTAAGATACTACAATTGTATCTTGAGAAGAACAAATAAAACGACTCACTGACCAACTGCGGATAAAAATATGTCTATAAAACTTTCAAGTGATACATAATTCATTGATTCTGAATACCTAATTAGTTGCGATGGATGTGCATATTGAAACAGAACTACCGCATTACACCCGGTCTGTTACAACATGTCGATAGGCCTAAAAGAATAAAAGATGTAACAACATTACACTACCCACTGACATAAGAACCTACTGTATTTTCAGGACACTGCACCTAAACATGTCCCTTCGTAATTTCCTACCTAATATGAATCTATTCGGAGTAACGCTTTATAAAAGTATAGTATGGGGACTGTATTTTAATTCCCTGACATACATAACATCATCCATGCTACTTCGGTTCACTATTACTTATTAGTGCGCGTTTGTTAAACTAAGGTACGATAACTACTTAAGCATCCTCTAGTTTCAGCTGCGTTTGGGAATAACCCATAAGATAAGAAGTGAGTAGCTTTATAGTGTTTTGATTATCACAATACTTCTAAAATCTTCCGGTTTGAAGTTATGTTGTCAAAAGGCAACGTAAACGTCACATCAAAACGATGATATTTACTTCGTTAATTTATGCTAAAGCATACTGCTAAAGTATACTGCTGGTACAAAAATACCTACTTTCGCCCCCAAATGCCCTGGTACGGCCGAGAGTGGGGAGAGTCCTCTCTCCCTCTCGAAATGCTCTCACATGGCCACGTGAATATATAGCCTCAGCCAGGGAAGTCCTACTCACTGCCTTCTCGTGGCGAGGGTGTTGTTTACGAAAGTGAGAGGACGAAGAGCGAATGTCCGGTGCTTTAACCGGGTTGGTGGACACGGAGGGTCCACCTAGGGCAGTTGGGAAACCCTGATTCCAAACCAATGGTGCACATGGGCTCCAGGATCCTGAGGGAACATATGGCGTATGAACCAACTGTTGGTCACCGGCTACCATGGAACTGCATTTCCTTACGATGCTCCACTGCCTTGTGGATCAGACTTTTAGGTCAAAGGCTCGGGGTGTGGCCCCCTAAGAAAACCACCTGCTTCGGTCTGGGCACCTGGGCAGTATCTCAGCCCTCACACAAATCAAATAAGATTTGTGAGGCGCATATTTATCTGGTGCCTTTTGTACCAATATTTATGTGTTTAAATAAATAGATAATAATAAATAACTTTGCACTCACCTTTTTATGAATTCGAAGTGAGTTTCATGAAACGACGGTTGATTTACGTCTGTTAATAAAATATAAAATCATCCTATTAACTAAACTGTTTACATAATAATACGAATGAATTATTAAAGGGACCGAATGTTGAACACATAAATCACATAAGACTTACAACAACAACCTTTTTATAGTTAAGCAAATGAAACTTTCAATAGTTACTTCTTATAACGTAATATAATAGTTTCGTGAGTTTTCGTTTAAAAACTCTAAGTCAAACTTATTTCGATAAAAGCAAAGGTTTTCAAACTGAGACAGTGATTCCAAATGTTTTTCAATCAAAGAATACACAGTTATCCGATTTGACGATAGGGACAGTGGCTTAATTAAAAGTCATCTAAACAGATGAAACATCTCTAGGAAAATATATTCATACTTGAACATTCAGGTAGTACATGTAACAGTATCACAGGAGTATGAATACAACAGTACACAAAATACTGTGATTTCTGACACGATATATACATATAAAAGAAGTGGCACTAGTTTCACTTTATGCGTTTATATTGTCTATATGATATTGGCAACTGTAGCAACTTTTATGTGAAGGTGCAAAGTGCTTTCACAAGGCTGTCAGGACCCCGAATCTCTACTTACTCTTGCTAGTAAACAGATAATAGTCGAGAGGTTCGTGTATCTAGGTAGTTATGTAAGTGCTGGTGGTGGCGATTTCGAAGTCAATCCACATATAGTGAAAGCCAGAGGGGCTTGTGCGAATCTGGGCCATCTTTGGCACCTCCGTGATGTCAGTTTTACTGTAAAAGGTCGGATCTACAACGCGTTGGTGAAAGCAGTTTTGCTCTATGCTTGTGAAACCTGGCCTCTCCGAGGATGTTAGACGACTCCCTGTGTTTGATCATCGTTGTCTCCGAAGGATTGTTGACATCCAGTGGCAACACCATGTCAGTAGTGCAGAGGTTCAGCATCGTGTGTTTGCGCACAGTGACGATAATTCAATCGGTTTCACTATCTTGAAACATCGACTTCGGTGGCTTGGACATGTTCTGTCAATGTCGTCCCAGAGAATTCCAAGAAGTGCATTATTTGCCGATGCTGGGACTGGTTGGAAAAAACAGAGAGGTGGTCAGCGTCCGACATGGCGTTGTGGTATGAAAGAAAGCTGTACAGGACTGGCTTCTGTCGGTCCTTCACGACTCCCTGATTGGGGTCCTAGAGATGGTGCAACACATTGGCCAGAGACGTTATCAGATATGGCTCAGGATAGAAGCCAGTGGCGTTCATGATGTAACCTTCTTTTACTTTCCTCATAAAAGTGGCCGTGACTTATTTGAATGAAATGATTCTTTCTGGTTGTATCTTCCTTTCCCACTACTATTATTTTTTCAATACCATACACTGATTTGTGGTTGTTAATGTTCTTTTTTCCTTTATACGCACCTTACATTTCACTTCTTTCCATTCTCATTATTACTGTATGTATCTGGTGGTGTATATGTATTTGGTGCCCAATTGTACCAATATTTATGTGTTCAAATAAATAAATAATAACAATTGCGTAGGCGAGATATCCGTCTAGCAACCAAAGGACGGGTTTACTGTGCAGCAGTTCGCTCCGTCCTACTCTATGGCAGTGAAAAATGACCAATAAGAGTAGAGGATATTCGTAGGCTACTAGTGTTCGATCATAGGTGTCTTCGAAGCATTGCTCGTATATCCTGGGACCACCGGGTAAGTAATGCAGTTGTTAGGAAACGAGTACTAGGTAGGGATGGCAAATCGATTGATGAAGTAGTGAAACTTCATCAGTTGAGATGGCTGGGACATGTGTTACGTATGCCCGACCACCGACTGCCCCGACGTGCAATGTTTCATGGTGTAGGAGTAGGTTGGAAGAAAGCTAGGGGCAGCCAGACCAAAACGTGGCACAAATCAATGAAGTCACTGACAAGTGGACTGGGCCATGTTGGTAGGTGTAGACTACCTGGTTGGGATTCGCGAGATGACAGCAACCGATGGTTAGAGACCTTGAATGACATGGCTCAAAATCGTTTGCAATGGCGAAGATGCAACCACTCTTTGTGTTCTACCAAATTCTAATCTTCTGAATTCCTCATGTCTTTATCTTTTTCTCTTTCCAAATTTATTTCACTGTACTATACTCCTTCAATAATTTCTTCAAACCCCTAATCTTTTGGATTTCTGATTATACTCCTACTACTTCTACCACTATGGGATTTGAATCGACAACTGCATCTCTGTGCTAATGTGGTATGGCAACTCGAACTGATGTACATACGTACGAAGTTCTACGTTGTGACTGACTGACTGACCACTATTACTGGTAATAATAGTACCAATGATAGTAAGAAATGTTAAACAAATTATACTATCTGAGAGAGAAATGACTAGAGGAACCAAAGTTACGAAATAATTTCGAAACCCAGGATCTAGGAGCAGACACAGCTCCCGCGGACGCGGCTGACTCTGAGCCATGTCACTTAATGTTCACAAACATTGATAGATAGAACATAACTAGCCCGCCCAAACCTACCAAGCTAACCACGAAAGTCGATGTAGTTGTGATGCTGAAAACCAACATTACATATTTCACTGACTATCCAACCGAATAGTTATAACAACTAGAGTATCAATGATGAATCCAAAAGTTTATTCAAAAAATAAAACACTACCTGAGATAAAGATACTAAAAAACCCATATTGACATTAAGACTTACAAGGTTAACAAGTGATATAAATGCCAAAAGACCGCATCTCCATCATCTACTGTACACACAATTGTCTACAACTTGATAGGTTTACTGTCAGATCTAGCTACAAGTGGAATACCACAAAACGAAGCAACAAGAGACAAAGCGCTGACTCCAGTCTAGTACACATAAAGCAGTCTGTCATTGCAGCTATTCAGGACAATGTCCCTTGAAATTATCAGATGATACCGTTAATCAGCTTAAGATTATGGTTATTCTCGTCGTTAGGCTCATTTATTACTGCTGATCACTGTAAAATGAATAACTCGAGATAGCTTGTAAAATATCTACTTTAATTGCTAATGAAAACTGCAAAAACTGATTCACTTGCGTGTTTTGGTAGAAAATAAAAACGAATCCCAGTCTAAACTAAAGCAGTCTAAGGTTCTCGAAAATTATCTGAGCACTAGGTTTAACAGTAAAACTGAAACCAAGCAATACAGGAGACTCCAGGGGTTATAAAATTTGAACGCGGTTCTAATCAATAACTGACACAGTGAGGTCGTTTAAAATGTTATGACTTGCGCTATTCAAGTGAGATACATAAGAGCCTATACGCCTGGGTTAAATAAATCTCTAAAGATTAGTGAACAAAATATGAACTCAAAAAATAAAGGTCAAAGATTCTAGTGCAGAGATACTGGCTCCTACAGTAATGATGAAATGCAGTCATTATTACAAATAAACGTACGCATACACTGTGAACTTACTAGTGCTTTCCACTTCTTCGCTCACAAAAAAACAGAAGTCGTAACACTTGGCAGGAGAGCTGTCATCAGCGCTTTCCTCACTGCAAACAACCTGTTTCTTTTTCTTTTTTAAGCGTCTCTTTTTAGAGACATTCAAGCAATTATTTCCGGTGGCCACTGATTCTACGGAATCCTCAGTTGGAACAAAGACTTGGTTTTTCCACGTTACACCGCTGAAACTGATAGGTTTTGATTTTGTTAGGGCAGGAAATTCCTCCAAATCAACAAAATTATTCTTTCCAGACTCTGAATCACAGTCTAAAGAATAACTATAACCTAGGACCATGTTTTGTTAACTAGTAGTAAAGTGGGTAGCGTTAATTTATATTGGATATGCCCTCCAGGTAGTGAATATTAACTTCTCATCAATCAGAATAAAATTCTTGATTGGGTGAACAATGAACTAAGAGATAGTTTTACTGAACTTTAATCACTGCGGCGAGTATGACTGTCAGTCGCCAGAAAATCTGAACAGATTCACAAACGCGCCATCAGAAAGTATCAGCAACATAAAGATTCGAAGTATTCAAACAAAAGCCATCTTAAATTTACATGTGATTCAGATAGTTTTGGACGGAATGGAAAAATCTTTCGCTTGAAAGGCTTCTGTATCTAGTGTCAGTGGGTCACCAATGTCTCAGTGTAGGAACTTGTGTATATTTGATTATGAAAAGAGAAGTATCAGCAAAGCATGGTGAAACACTGTCCTGAGTTCACAATAACATGTTAGGTTTTCTCTTAAAGGACTTATAGGGAGTTTTTTAGACTATCTTACATGGCAGTGAATCCCAGAGCTTGATTACTCAGAAAACGTAAAAGGTGGGCCTACAGTCCATTCTGCTATGCCATATCTGTAATTTCTGTTTCACCTCCAAGTTTTGTGCTGGGAATGAGCTTAATTGGATGTGTTAAGGGGCTGCTCAAGAGTGTTCAAGATTTTATAAGTCATCAAAAAATCACCTCTGCGACGCTTATACTCGAATGGCTAAAGATTTAGTGATTTGAGGCGCTCCTCATAAGGTATGGACTTGAGTCTCCGTACTGATTTCGTGAGTCGCCATTGGATAATTTGCAGTGTATTCTTGTCTTTACATAGTGAGGGGAGAATAAGGCCAAATTAAACTTTTAGGGATTATGTGGTAAGATCCATTACCCAACTAGCCAAAAATGGTCATCAACGCTAACAGTGAAAACCTTTACTCGAAAGGCATTTCTCCCGAAGTGAGCTTAAGACTTTAGATCATAAAGAACTAAGATTCCATGACCTTTTTAAATTTGAATACCTCTAGAGGGGAGTTTCTTTATTTGTATGAATTGTCTGAAACATTTCTCAGTTGGACTTCTTCACTCTTTGAAGTGCTGAAGGTAAGCCCACCCAACTTTGAAGTCAAGTCCAGTCCTTCGGAAGTCTCAGTTTGTCATCTGGATCTCTGGCTTCTCCCCAGAGTTTTACATCATCAATGATAAATAGTAAATCAAACGATACTTACTGAAGGTCACTCATATAAATTAAGAAAAGAAGAGGTCTTAGTAATGAACCCTAGGGCACACTGCAGTGGTATTAGTCTTAACCACATAATCCTCGAAGCAGAACGTGAAACGACTGGGAAAATACATATTCAACGTTTAGCACTCAGAGAAGGCCAACAATGGTGAACGCGGAAATATTCATTTATTCAATCGGATGACATGGCTCAGCCTCGCAGACGTGGCCATTCTGTACAACTTGTCTTTATTCACATTAAATATATTGTCCTATCTTCAGCCCAAATGAGTTCTTCAGAGATACTAAGTATCATATTGTTACGGCACGATGAGTCAGTGCAGACAATGATGTGACTTCGACGTAAAATCTTATAGATTAGGTAATTATATCATTACAAATCCGTGCTTTTAAGATTGGGTCTATTATAGTACTAATTACGAACTAGGCCATAATTCTACACTGATTTTTCCAGTTACCGCATATTCAGCTTTGAAGGTTGTGTAGTTAGAACCGATACCACTACAGAACCACTAGGGATTCTGTAGTCTGAGAAAAAAGGAACTTTTCGTGACTTTAAAAGGTCAAATATAAAGAAAGGAAGTAAGCTAATCTATTAACAGTGACTTGTTACCTAACAGACTGAGCCTACAGATGAGACATGTATAACTGACCATATCAAAAACTTTTGGGAAGTCAAGGTATATTACATCGACCTCCCCCTGAGATCAAGGATGGTTGTCTTTCTGTCCATCGTGGTTTTACAAGAATGGCTCTTCCTGAGACCGTGCTGTCGAGGTGAAAATAGGATTATGGATATAAAGCAGTCGCGTAGACCATCATACGTCAATGACTTCGTAACTTTCGAGGGTATTGAGAGAAAGGCTACCGGATGGCATCCTAAAGGTTCACTGAATCGGCCTCCTCTGAAAATTGGTTTTCGATTTTTTTGGTACTGTGCCTCAACGTGGCGGACTTGAGAACATCACACTAAACGATTTCGATAAGATTAAGTTCGCTTCTCTCAGCATGACAGAATGGAGCTTATCCAAGCCAGGAGAAATGTCCTTATTTAGATAAGCGGTTTCTGATTTACACAAGCAGCGTTCACTTTCACTTTTGTGACTCCTGTTGAATTTCAGGTGAAGCTCTTGTCAATGTAGTTAGTATGTGATGGTTGAAACGTTTGAACATACTGTTTTGCCAGCAGGGCGGCGGCACTGTCGCCGTTGTCGGTCGGACCATTAGGACTAAACAACTGGGAAACTCCTGGTTTGGTTAGTCTAAGAAAGGCTTCATGACGAAGTAAGTCTTTCGTACTGGAGACAAATTTGTCGATTAGCTTTATCTGATACTGAAGCTTATCCTCTCTCATTACATATAGGTATTAACTTCTTACTTGTTTGAACTGTATCTAAGTGCCGTCATCACTAGTTAGTTGATATTCAGCTCAGTAGTACTTTTCGCGTTTTAGCGTTCAAAGAGTACGAGTACATATGACTGCACGTTGACTGTAATTTTCGATGTCCGTTTACGGACAGACAGGTCTGTAGCACATAAAATTATCTAATTAGGGAATCTGAATGACAGTTTCCATCAAGTCGAGGGTGGACCCCCCAGTCCACCTGTTTTAGGTTGCCCTGTAAAGCTAATACATTCAAACGTTTGAAATTCCAACGCCATTTGTAAGATGTCTGGGCTCAGATTCTCTGACAAAATTGGTGACCATGAAAGCATAATCACTTCTTTTCAAGAAAGCCAGGATTGAGAGATTGTCAGTCAGCTTCATCAGAGTTCCCACCTTGAACGTGCGTGTGTTCAGCGAAAATTAAATTAGAAAGATTGGAGTCTCTTAGATTCACGGTATGTGTGTATCCGTGACGAATAGAGAGGAACAATCTCTCCGGCATACTCATTGACAGTAGTAGGCTTTCTGTAAATGACTTCGACTAGACTTCTCGAGGTGTTAGACAGTCACAATGAGCATCATGCAGATTCATAAAGATTTATAGACTATTAGATGTACACCTGATTATATATCAATCAAGATAGTGAGTACAGTGTTAGCAAGCCCACCATTCTTGTCTTTCTGCCGTCAATTACCAGCTGCTGGTTCGTAATTTGATAGGTATATATTTCGCATATTCCTATTTTACTTACTTACATGCGCCCGTCGAGGAGCGTAGTCCACCTACCAGCATTTCTATCCAATTTTGTTCTGCACAGTCTTTTCCAGGTGTTTCTATTTGTTATTCATCCCATCTTTGTCTGCTTCCAATCATCTGCACAGTGTACACTTTGGACTTCCTCTTTTACGTTTCCCTTCAGATTTCCAAGGTAGTGGTTGCCTCGTGATGTAGTTTGATGATTCTTCTGTAATGTATGTCCAATCCACTTGCAACGTATTTTCCTAATTTCCTCTCGAGTTGAAAGCTGGTTTGTTATCTCACACAGTAGACTGTTGTTGATGGTATCCGGCCAACGGGAATTGAGTATCTTATATAGATAGTGATTATAAATACTTGTACCTTTTTGATGATGGTTGTGGCAGTCCTTGAAGTTTCAGTTCCGTACAATAGGATTGTCTTGACGTTCGTATTGAGGATTCTAACTGTGATAATCTGGATGCACTAACACCAAATAAGTTATTGTTAGTTCATAGAGGTATATCATTCGGTGAGGCTCAGACAAGTGAAACATTCATATATAACAGAAGATAGAAGGAAGAGCAACAACTAGACAACTTTTTATTGTACAGATCGATACAGGAGTACCTACTAGCCTCTCAGAAGATATCCAAGTGTCTGGACGTGAGAGGAATATTGGCTCACCAATAAAACTGTGGACGAAATCTAAAATTAGGCAGGTGAATTAAGTGCCAAGTGGACGAGTTAGAACAGTTCGGCTGAAAACAACAACCGAAGATATCGGCCAAAGGTTACGACGTTTATGCCTACAAGAAGAGGCCGATATATTGGATATGACAGTAGCGAAGCCTAGACGTGATTCTCGCTTGGAGGAAGTTAGTTGTCTCCATAACTAAGAAGCCGAACCGCTGCTTAAACACCCACTACGTCCACGCCACATGACGTGTCTGTAAACTATTCCTATTGCATGTGACCTGTCAGTTGTAGGACACTATTGTTCATTTATATTGGTGTGACCGCAGCTCAGATATTTTTGTTCATTCTACAAGGCACACAATAGCGGCCACTATGTTCGTGTGTTCCACTTAATGACTACACTTCCTTTACTTGATCTTTACGTTTACAAACAGATAAAGTTTGAAGCTACGTTATCCTCCTCCTGATTGTAGCTTTCAAATATACCCTGGGTCGTCAATACCGCGTTTACAGTTCAGGTGGAGTATCTGTAGAAGAAATATAACCTTAGAATTTGTAAGTTTCCACCTTCTCCAGAGCTTCTCTGTCACTTGTGGCTGGGTTGATGTTTACCGTGTTGTATTTGAGGACGTTGCTTTTTCCCTTGTGAATGTTGAGGCCTACTGATTCAGAGGGCGTTGCTACACTAGTTATCTTCACCTGCATTTGTTGGTGTGTAGAAAAGCGGTATAGAAGAGCTGTATCATCTGCAAAGTTCAAATCGTCCAGTTGCGTGCAAGCTGTCCATTGTATTGCATGTTTCCTCTCAGATGTCCAGGTCCTCATAATCCAGTCAACCATCAGGTGAAAGAGAAAGCCAGGAGAGTGAGTAAGCAGCCTTATCTAACCCCGGTCCTCACTTGGGATGTATCTATCAGCTGTCCTCCATTCAAGAACTTACAGTGTAGTCCATCGTATGAATTCTGAATGGTGTTGACAATTTTCTCAAGTACTCACTGTGTAACGTTAAAGAAGTTTTCACAATGTTCTTCTATCCATACTGTTAAATGCTTTCACATAATCAAGGGAGTTGATGTATGGTAACGAGTTCCATTCAATTGATTGTTGAATGATGATCTGTAGTGTAGCGATTTGGTCTGTTCACGGCCCATTTTCACGGAATCAGACTTGTTGA